GGTGCCAGAAGGTGCGAAGCGGCTGCTTGCTGGGCCCAAGCAGCGTTGAACCACGCGTGCAAGTCGCACACGACGATGATGCGACGTGCGTGCGACGTGAACGAAAGCGCGAGAGCGGGTGCACGCCGCCGTTGCACCATCCACCGTAGCGGGCATTCGCGCGATTTGAGCGGTGTGGTGCACCCTCATTGGAAATCGAATCGTGAGAGCATTCAGCCTTCAGCATTCATGATTCATGATTCAGCATTCAGCATTCATGATTCAGCATTCAGCATTCAGCATCAACAACAGTCACAAACTCAATTAACATGATCCTTGCAGACGCCCGACGAGCTGTTTTGAACTTTGGAGCGCGCATGATGATGCATGCAGCTCGATCCAAACTCCGACATCAAACTCGTGACTTTGGGTTCTCATTGCTGCTGCACCGTACCGTACCGCGGCGCTGCTGCTGCTCGCTGCTGATGTGTGCGTGATGAGAATCCGAATCTGAACTTTTGACTGTCATGCACCACGCGATTCAGATTCGTGATTCACGATTGGAGCTCGTCAAACTCGCCTTACAGCTCTTCAAATCAATCCCACGCAGGCAGCAGGGTCTTTTGGAGAGACGCGGACCGAGCGCGAAGCCCACGCCTACCAGCCATCACCCGCACTCGCGACCGCTGGCTTCGACCTCCCAGGTCCAGTCACTAGTCCTCATCTCCATTTGCTGACAATCCCTCGGGCGCATACCGCAATATACGTTCCCACGCTCTATCGCGCACCACGAGCCGGGCTTGATCCTCTCATGCGAGGCGCAAGCCCGAGGTCGTGGTCGTAGGCCGAGTCCCTTGGCGACGGGTACGAGAACGGTAGCCATCGCAGTCCTAGACGCGCTTCTTGCCTCACCTATTTCATCGTGCGCAGACCTGCACCCGGGGTGACCAGACCTCTACGTCTACCATTTACGTCACAGCCACTTCCTACGGCTCTCGCGCACTGCGTCAGCGCGATCGAATGAAGGAATCTTTTGGCACTACCTCGGACACAGGCTGACGTGAGATCTGCGAGTTATCAAGCGCGATCGTCAGCTCCTAAGCGAATACTCCTCCGTTCCAGGAGCTAGGTGGCTTGTCCACCTCTCTCTCCTCAGCAACAGGACTGAGCAGCCAGTGTTCGGGGCAGCGACTTCAATCACGTCCCTCTGCATCTCTTCTCGGCTGCGCACACTTGCAGGCAAGTGCTGCAATGTCGTCGAGCGCAGCTTCGGTCAGCGAGCCTTCGAGCGCCGCACCCTCCCCTCGAGGGCGACACGCCATGCTCGCATCCCCTTCGCAAGCCGAGCAGCATTTGGCTCAGCTGCTCGGCGCCGGCACACCCTCCTTCGCACTTGCCTCTGCACGAGCAACAAGTGGATCAAGTACTCAGCCAACGCCGGGTTCAAGTCGTGATCGTACTCCGGTCAGCGGCGGTGGAACTTCTGGTGCCAGCTCGCCTGCTCTGCTAGCTATGAATCTTCCTGGCAAGCCTGCCCCAACACTCTCCCGACCTGCGAACTCGAGTCTGTCTCCGACTGGGGCTATCAGCGGAGAAGATGTCAGTGGATCCAGCTCGCCCGTAATGTCGGGACGCAGCACGCCGTCGCAAGCACGCTCATCTAGCAAGTCACAAGTGCTAGAGACTCACCGGCTTCAGCTCCAGACGCATACCAGTGGACGACGAATGATCAACCAGTACATCATGTGAGTCCAGGGTACATGGCGTGGCTGTGAGCCAACCCGACCTGATCGCCCTCCATCACCCGCTTTGTAGCGAAGGCGAACTGGGCAGAGGCGTCCATGGCAAGGTCCGTCAAGCGCGAGACACCGAGACTGGCGAGCGTGTAGCAGTCAAGATTGTCGAGCGCGAAGGCAGAAAGCGTTTAGGAGCCAGTCACTCGGGAGTGCTGGGCCGACCCAAGGTGGACGACTGGAAGGGCAAGTCAAGGGATCAGACAGAACACATGGCGTCTCAAAGTCCGCCCCTGGACCGTGCTCCGAAGCTCGCGCCAGACGCACCCCTAGCATCCCCCCGAAGCGGCCCTCAAACACGCTTCGCCTCGACGCCACCGGGGTCTCCTAGAGCCTCAAATCAGAACGCTGCCCTTGCAGCGAGACATGGACGCTGGGGTGAAGGCGGCATGAGCCGCGCTGCCATGGACAAGGAAGTTGAGCGCGATCGCGAGAAGGCGCGAGATAAGGCTCGCAAGCAGCTGTTGTGGACTACGGACAAGAAGGTTAAGAGGGAGATAGCACTTATGAAGAAATGCTCGCATCCCAATGTCGTTCGCCTGAAGGAGGTCATAGACGACCCGCAAAGCAAGAAGGTCTTCATGGGTAAGTTCATGTTTACGAGAGTCGGCCAGTGCAATCGTCAGCTTGCTCACGCGTACAACCCTGCGTTCTCCGCTAGTGCTCGAGTTCATGGCGGGCGGCGAGGTACTTTGGAAGGATGATCGCGGCTTTCCCACACTGACTGTCGCCGAATCACGGAGCATCATCCGAGACGTTGTCTTAGGTCTGGAGTACTTGCACTATCAGGGCATCATTCATCGCGACATCAAGCCTGCCAATCTGCTCTGGGATGAGGACCGCCGCGTGAAAATTTCAGACTTTGGCGTCTCTCACTTCAGCTACGCTCTGCTCGTCGCAAGCGGCGGTCTGCCGAGCTGGGATGGGGACGAGCAGAGAGCCAAGGATCCAAGTCTCATCGACGATCACGAGCTCGCAAAGACTGCAGGCAGCCCTGCATTCTTTGCGCCTGAGCTATGCTTGGCCGGGGAAGCGCAGCCAACAGCCACGTCTTTAGAAGGGCGCATGAGCCAGATGCGAACTCATACGCCCAAAGTTGAAGACCAAGCCAAAAGTCCACGAAGGGAAGGCAGCTTGAAGGAATTTCCTTGGGAAGAGTACGCTGAGAAAGAAGCACGCGCCGCTCCGCTGCGCAGGCGACCGAAGATTACGAAAGCCATCGACGTCTGGGCGCTGGGAGTCACGCTGTACTGCCTTCTTTTCGGACACCCGCCGTTCACCGCAGACAATGAGTTTGCACTCTTCACAGTCATCCCGAGCGAGGATTACGAGCTGCCGGCTTTCGCAGGAGCGGACCGCTTGCGCATCGGACCTCGCGCGAGGCGTTGGCAAGCTCTGCCGCACTGGACTGATGAAGAGGGAGACGTGCAGCCGGATGGCAGGGATCCGCGAGAAGCCGATGTAGGGCCTGCTGCGCTCTCTGAGGACATGCGATCGCTGCGTGACCTCCTGGATCGTTTGCTGGAAAAGGATCCGGAGAAGCGTATCAAGCTGGAGGAGGTCAAAAAGCATCCCTGGGTGGTTCGCGATCTCAATGACGCTCCCGACTGGCTTCACAAGACAGATCCCACGCAACATCCTTTTGTGATTGTGACGCACGAGGACATGGAAGATGCGTTGACTGGTTACTCGAAGTTGAAGCTGCGCATGAAGCGGTGGCAGTCAAAAATCATCGAGACACTCGGCGGAGGAAAGGCGCGCTCCAGAAGCTCATCACACTCGCAACCTTATGGTCGCCCTCATGCCGTGCCGCTCAATACAAGTGGGGATCTCCGCAGCGGAAAGGGAACACCGAACACTGCCAGCAGCGCCATGTCCCCTACTCCCTCTGATCTCGGCGCTGCACAAGGCCACCCAATGCGTCAGCACGAAGTGCCTGCTGAGCACGCAGCCAGCCGCATGGTCACCTTGCTCAGGCGACAATCTGCTACATTGGACCGCGAAACGGAGACCGCTGAATTTGCTGGACTCGCTCGCGAGCTGACGCGTGGCAGTCGCGACAAAATGGCCGGCACTCGCAGCCAACCGGGCAGTCGACCCAGCTCTCCGCGGACGTCGCGCAATGCTCTGTCAGCCCTCTATAACAGCGGCAATAGCGAAACCACCACGAACACTGGCAATGCATCTTGGTCGCATACGGCGAGACAAACGATTGCCCCGTCAGACGCTGCGAGTCTGCTCCGAAGGATTTCCGCTGCTCAAGGCACAGCAGAACACACCTCTCGCTCTACTCTGCGACCTGCCATACTTCGGCGACGCTCAACCAGTAGATCGACGAAGACGGAGCGCAGCCCAGTGCCTCCTACCTTGAATCGCTCCTCGTCGGAGTCACAGCGAAGCGACATGCTCTTGCGCAGCAGCGAAATGGCGCTGCCGAGTACAATCGCAACCGAAGAGGAGCAAACGAGGTCCTTTAGCCGTGCATCACGCAGATTCTCCAAGGGTGACTCCGGCGCAGGATGGCCATCTCGTCTCCACCATAACACACACAACGGAGCGATCGGCGCACCGCGCTCTTCTGGTGACTCTCGCCGGCCGAGCAGCTTGCGAGCAGCACCCGATCAGCTCGCCATGCGACAGAGCAGTCGCTCCCGCATCGGGGACATCTTCCGCAAAGCTTGGCATGGCCAGGGATTGGGCCACGTGCCGGGCCATGCGAATGCTCTGCAGCGTCCTGACATCGACACCACGTCTTTGGCATCTAGACGGTCAGTGCGCAGCCGGAAGAGCTCCGCGCGCCGTAGGGACATGCCTCAGGGTCCTGCCGGCCAACAAGCTTCTCTCCCAAACCGCTCATCAGGAGATTTGAAAATCGACACGGCAGGTGCTGCCAGCGCCGCGGGCCCTCATCACCTTTTTGATCAGCCTGTCAGCGCTCCACCCCTCGCTGGCCCGTCATTGTCTGATCACCATTCTCATCCCCCTGGCGTCGGTGGAAACGGAGCAGGTTCGCCCCGCTTCCATCTAGCGTCCACAATGAGCTCTCCCGTCGCCCCCAGGGTAGAGCTAGACGACGTTGATCTTGATCTAGAGCTTTCCGACGACGACGATGACGATGTGCTGCATGCGCGCACGCGAACTTCCCTGCAACCACGTGCTTCATACCTACGCAACGATGGGCGAGGCTGGGTGATGCATCCCGCGCAGGGCCAGACCGATACAGGACGGCCCACAAATCTTTCAGGCGGTTCATCGACCTCTGCAGAGGTGTCTGGTGGAGCGTCGTCCGCTTCCGAAAGCCCACCAGCAGCGTACGCCCACAGCTTGACGCCTTCTGTGGAAGGTGGCTACAACTTATTCAAGCCGCCATACGTAAGCGCGAGAGATGCTACAGGATTGGGATCGACTCTGAGCCCCTCTCCGGTGTATAGCGGCGAGGAAGAGGAAGCTCGCGCGAATTCGGCTGCTCGTGCCCAGGTCGGTCCGAGTGATGATTCGCATGCAGCTCCTCATCGTCACGGCGGGTCTTTCGCGCAAGACACGAGGCCTAATCTGGCTCATTCGGAGACCAACGCCCGCGACGCGCACCTAGACGAGTCACTCAGCAACGACGACGATCGCTTCGCCGATGCAGATGAGACAGACATCTCGCTGAGCCAGCAACGTCGCATATTTGCTCCAGTCTCACCGGGCGAAGACGAGGAGGAAGAAGGGTTCAGCTTCGATGTTGGTCATAGCAAGCAAAGCCGGCCTTGAGGGTCCCGCATCGCCTCTTCTTGCTGCTCCTGTGCGTCTCTGCATGCATTTTCAGTTGTCGGTGATGCTCATGCACACTCCTTGTAAACCTTAATCATCTTTACAGCTCCATAGCCAATGTAAACTCACACACACAGACTCAGTGACTAGGTTTTGCAAAGGTTCCACGGTGCAGGGTATTAATTGCAAGATCGGTCGGTGTAAGTCCAGAGCAATGGGGCAAGTCTTTGAAATGCAGCGAAGCGTTTGAGTCTGAGATGGAGCAGAATCGTACAGAAAATCCAGAAGGGAGTGGCCGCCCCCTTGCTCGGCAGTGTGGCGGGGTGCAGGGACTGCGGTGCAGACGAGGATCGGGATAACATGTAGCATCTATCTGGCTGAGCTTGCTTGGGCTGCGGTTCGCGCAGCGATGTCTTTGATTCTCGCTGCATCTGCACGAGCAGAAGCGCGCAACATTTCCCCGAATGCGTCCAATTCGGGCGAAGCCACCGCCGGGCGCGCGCTCTTGCTGCTCTTTGTGGAGGCTGCGCGAGCGCGCGCACCATCGCTGGTGGAAGGCCTCCGCCCAATCTGGTCGTGGGTGAGTGAAGCGGCGCGCATATCCATCGAAGTAGCGGAGTCATACGTCCAAGGATTTGCTGAGGACGGGCTCCAGCCTTCACTGGCTCCGCCCGATCGAGAGTCTTTGCCCGTCTGAGGCACGAAAGGGTAATCTCGGTGAGGCGAGGGTGCAAGGCCGGGCGTCCCAATGGTAGTGGGAGTCGGGATCATCTGATCGGCGGACACTGCGAGCATCCTTGTAGCATCCTCGACAGCGGCAAGACTATCCCATGCCACCGACTCAACGGTGCCATTGTTCTCGAGGAAGAAATGATCGGAGGATATCCCGCGATTACTAGGCGTGTTCGGCAAGGTCTTGCTCGTGCCGAGCCCAACGACGGAGCCTACCCCATGACTCGCTGCACGGCGGAACTGCGCAAGAAGTTTTGGCGATTTGCTTGAATTTTGATCGGGTGACACGTTCGAGAGCGAAACCGTATCTTGGGAGTGGGTTACTTTGCCTCGGGCGGCGGCACCTAATCCTGGCGAGGAGGTTGCAGATTGGCCTTCCATAAGATGCTCTCTCGCTGGTGACTTCAGCTGCAAGGGTGGTGGACTAGGTCGGTGTGTGCTGATCATATTTGAGCGCGACTTGCGCCTCTCTAGCAATGATTGCGGCGAAGAAGGGCTGTCACGTTGGGTGTCGGCTTCTCGGGCAGCGAGCGGTGGTCTGGCGGGGTCCGGTGCAGCTTCGTCCACACCAAGCAGGTCCATGCTCGGACGTACAAGCCAGACCTCGATGGGAGAAGGGGGGATGTCGGAAGCGTTAAATTCACCACCTCCAACATTTTGGCCTCCGAGGTGCTGGGCGAATGCTGGGCCAATGGCCTTCGTGATACTGGGATCTGCGGAGGTTGCTGACATCTCAAAGGCGTCATCTTCAGATGCGTGAAGATTGCTTGAGATGTCATCAGCCTCGTGTCGACCAGTGTCGTTTAGCAGGGCTGGGCTCAGGGATTTATGAATTGTGGCCGAGGCAGCAGGCTCATCACGAGCGGTGACTTTGGCTAGACGAGCAGATGATTTCCCATTAAGGCGTGGTGTCCGGCTAGGTTCAGTAGAAGAGCGTCCAAACGAGAAGGACGGTCGGCCATTCCGCTCGCGCTCAAACGATGCTGCTTGCTCGTGGTCTTGCGCAATGCGCGGTGACAGGCTCAACCCGACTGCTTGGGAGAGAACGTTTCTGCGCCATCCAGCTTCGTCGGCTGCAGCTTCCGTCGACATGGAGGGTCTGGTCGGCAGCGCTGCGACGGGAGGAGATGACGCGGGCGCTGGCATGGCTTTGTGAATCGACTTGGTGGAGGCGATGGAAGCCACGCGCGCTCTCCAACCGGTTCCATCTGATCGCTGCCTACGTTCAGTAGACGTCTGCGACTCAATGCCCAGCCCGACTGGCTCTCTGCTCTTGACCGGGGGAGATTCCAGTGGCGACCTTGGGTCGTGGCTCAACTCCGCGCTGTTCGTCTTGAAGGTGGAGTCGGCCATATCGCCAGATGCAGAGGGGGTCGTCGGGGTGCCCGTCCTGGATGCGGATTTGGGTCCTCGCATGCGACCAAGGAGTCCAGAAAAGCTTCGCGACGAGACCTTTGCCAGCAAGGGAGGACTTACCGAAGCTTCGCCACTCATAACCTCAGTCTTGCTCGTCTCTGAAGCATCGAAAATGCCGGGGTCGCCGTGATCTGTGGACGTTGGATAGTTGTGCCCAACATCGGAGCCAAACACCATTCCTCCTCTACGAAAGCTGCTTGCAAGGCTTCGCGAGCTGGTCGCGCTGGGCAGGCGTTGTCCAGCACCGCTGCCGGCGGATCGACCAGCTTCATGATTGGCCGATCCACCACGTGAGCTGGGTCGTTGGTAGACCGGTGGGATGAAATACTCGTTGGCGCACGGTTGTCGCTGCCGCCTCAGCTCGTCCGGAAGGTCCTTCTGTGCGGCATTTTCGAGATCCGCAAGATGCGTTTTGGTCGGAAGAGGCGCAGCCGGCGGAGAGCTCGCGGCGATCAATTCTGCACTCCTGGCCGGCAGTGGAGGTACAGACTCAGCAGCATCAGGCGAAACCAGCCGCGAAGCGGATCCAATGCTGGCTCGCGAGCTGCGACGCGTAGCTTGCGCTTGGGCAACCAAATCTCGCTCGCGCTGAAGATGGGCTTGACTCTTGTGTGAGGATGCAGAGCGCTTCCTACGTAGGGACGCCGGGCTCTTTGTGTGTGACACATTGGCATACGGCAAATCGTCTGCGGAAGAGTCGTCTCCGCTGATTGCCATCTCTGCTTGCAGCGGGTTACGAAGTGTATCGCTGATTCCAGTAGAAGGCATCTTTGGCGTCCCGCCCTCATTTGCAATCGCATGCTTGCGGTGCGCTCGGGCCACTGTCGAGCTATCTAGACTCTTTCGAGCACGTTGTGGACGTGCCGGCTTACGATCTTTCGATGACGACGCTTCGCTGATGGGTGAAATCGATGCGGGTTCGTTCGTGGGCAAAGTATCCGGCCCTGCGCTCAAGTCCACAGACGTAGCCGGCAAGGATCGTCTGCGCGACACTCTCAGGGAGTCTTTCTCTGATGCGGGCGATGCAGAGGCACCGCCCGGGTCGTCCGAGCGAGCATCGAAAAACCCGTCGTTCTCCGCCTCTGTGCCAGATTCTCGTGCATCCCTGATATTGCTCAACGGCCGCCTGTCCACAAACGTCCGTCCGCTTCGATACGTCCGGACCGGCGGCGGATTAGACAGGCCAAGAGCCTGCAGGGTGCTGCCACTCGAATAGGGAGAGGCAGGCGCTGAGTGCAGCGATCGAGTGGAATCGAGCGAAGCGCGCGCTGGGGTTGCGGAGGACTCGATTCGACCAGGGGGAGTGTAGACGAATGCAGGTTGCAGAATGGAGCTGGCTTCCTGAGGGTCAACGGCTGAGGACTCCTTCTGATCTAGTGTCGGGCTCGCCATGCGGTCCAAAACCTCCTCTTCCTGAGCTCGACGAACGGCATTTGCAGCTTCGCGCTCTTTTTTCCCTGCCCCACGCAGAGAAGCAATAACGTTCCCAAGCCCTCGTCTCAATGCGCTTGGCGTGCTGCGGCCATCCCTGAAGCTGCTAGCTCGGGACCCTGAGCGAGGCGGTAGGTCACGCAAATCAGGCGACTGAGATGCCCTTCCTGCATACGGATGCTCGACGTCACTGCGACCATCTCTGACATCGCCATTGTAATCCGACACCCCGGCACCGCCTTCTTTGGGCAAGGTGTTCGAGACATCAGAGCGCTCCGCGACGGGGGCCGGGGTGGCCGGCAGCGGCGCAGTGAGGGAGTCGGAAGGCCCTGCGAGAGCTTCTGGAAGCGCGTTCTGCCCTTTTCGAGGCGAGACTATCCTCACAGACCGCGCAGCGTCAGTTCTCTCAAAGAGCTGCGACTGCCCTTCTATGCTGGTTTTGAGAGAAGCGCCTCCGGCGCCCCAATGAGATTGCTCTCTCGTATCGTGGCCTCCGTTCCGCGACGCATCGGCTGTATACCCATTCGGGATACCGTTGCCGCGCGAAGACTCCGCCTTGCTTGAAGGGGCTGGCTCTGTCGCAGTTGCCGCTCCAGGTGGTGCAGCTGCTCCATGGAACGCGCTGGTTGTTCGCGGTGGGGGGATGGGGGGCGGCAGGGCTCTTCTCTTGCCCTTATCTCTGCGCTTCTTCTTCCTTCGCGCTCTACTTGCACTGTCCCCGGCGCTTTCCGCCTCGCCGCCATCCCTCATCTCAGAGCCATTTGCATGCCCATTCGTACCCGAAGCTGCTTGGTCACGAGGTACGCTCTTGAGGCTCTCAGCTTTGTTCAAAGTCTGCATTCGGCGGACACTGTTCGCCGCCGAGGGCGATTGCGCGGTAGAGCCTCGTCGCGAGGTCGACGCATCCCCCGATCGATTCCCGAACCTCTCCAACCACTGTGCGTGATCTGGATGTGCAGGATTTGCAGCACGCACAAAGGCATCGTAGGAATCTTCTGGCGGCGCAGTCGGCCGCCTCGCGCGGGAAGAGTGTGATGGGGTGGGCGAAGAAGATCTGCCAGGTGCCGATGCCTCCGGCTTCACGCCTGATCGGCTGAATGAGCTCATGCTTGCTCTCGAACCTGCAATCAGGTGCGGGAGGTGACGCGAAGGATCCAGACACTGAAGCGGAGGCAGCCGGTCATGTCAGTCGAAGGCGTCCGGCGACGCGGACGAGCGCGCTCACCCCAAGGACGCACCTGGATGCTGAGGCTTCGCGAGAAGCGGGAGCTGGACGGGTTTGGCTGTTGCCCTCCCCTCGCAATAGCAGCCCTCGCCCTCCGCTATTTGGACTCGTCGGCGGAGTGAAGCCGTTGGATTCAGGGAGGAGCGGCGCAAGATCGGTCGACCGTTGCCGAGCGCCGTGCGGGGAGCTGCGGTGCAAATGTCGCGGCGCAGCTGTCAGCGACGGTAGTGTCGAAGATCTCCTGCGCGTGCTTCAACAGCGCTGGTGTGGTCAGCCAAGTGCGGCAGGTCCCACGCAAGTGGGTGGGGAATTAAATTGGCACCCGCGCGCGTCAAGAGAGAGGGATGCGGCTCGCAGCGATCGACATCGGAGCAAGGTGCGCGACCCTGATGGTTGGTGCTCGGTAGTGGGCTGGGAGACGCGTCTGGATCGCAAGGAATGTGATGAGCTTGAGAGCTATGTGTGTGTGTGGGGATGCAGGAAGAGTGACCCGTGTGAAAGGGCGGTCCTTTGAGGTTCGAGCACCAAGCAGAGTGCCAAGTCTGTAGGCGGAAAGGACGTTGAGAGCATACAATGGTGTGCAACCGCCGCCAGATGGAGATGGAGGACAGGTCAAAGTCAAGGTCAAAGTCGCAGTCGCAGTCGCAAGTGCACGTAGGTAAAGCGAGAACGATTGGGATATGAGTCTGACCAACTGGTCCGTCATGACCTACCTCGTGACTGCATCAGGTGGTTACCCGTCACATGCACATCACTCACGACGATGTGAATGCAAATGCAAATGCTCGCTAGCCGCTGTGCGGTCCCCGCGTACGCAGCAGGACAGGTCGCAGCAAAGCTGTCGAAGGGGCACAGCATCTGCAGCGCGGCGTGCATCATAATCATCAACCGCGCGCGTGCATCAAAATGAAGGAAAGCAATGCATGATGTCTGATACACCGACTTTTGTTTGTTACTTTGGTGATTTGATTCGCTGCTGTCGCAGGCAAGGACGTGCAGCAGCCTGCATGCAAGACGGCCTTGGCTACAGTCACGAGTATTCAATCGTGAATATTGTCGGTCGAGTCGCCGCGTTTGTGGGCTGCGCGTGACCTCTGTTCGACAAGCCGCCAAAGAGAAGAACAATAAACGGCATACTGTACCGGTATATGGTACACGACCTGCAGATTCATGAGAAACAGGTCTTGCTGTGCTCTACCATCATGCTGCTGGCAGCTGCCACGGGTTGCAATCCGGTACTCGGCACTGTCTGGCGTTAAATCTGCTGCTGTGAATCCGTGACATTGATGAGTGACTGATATATATGCACCATCCGCTTCCTGGCCACTAATCTGACTCTCCAGCATGAATCTGACTTGATGCATGCTGGCACCCAGCAAGGCGCTCGCGACGCAACTCGGACGTGGAGATACGTGAGGCATGCAGGGCAGACAGCGCTGAGAATAGCAAGTCGC